AACTTCCTGATGGTAGTTATTAAGACTCACATCCATACATAAGCTCTACTATATCGTAGCTATCAATCCACCTAATATCCGAAGATAAGTAGCTAGAGAACGAAAGAAACAAAGTCTAGATTCGTAACATCAACTCCACGCATACCAGCCCATTTTATGACTAGAATCGAAGAAAAAACTGGCCAGATCAACACATCTGCAGGATATACAAAAAAAAGTAAGCTGCTACTCGACATCTGAACCCTCGAAAGAAACTTCCTGATGGTAGTTATCTTCCTTAAATTTTCCCAAAGGACTCCGGTTAACCTATGTGAATGTGGGGTGGTACAAGATTCATCGCACTTTCTTAGTTGACTTTATCATCCAAATCGGTCTTTTCTGAAGGAAAAGGTTAATTTATTTGAACTAAACATGTAAAGTACAGTCAGTAAGCTATTACTTATAAAGTAAAGATCATTGCAAATTTGACACTACCTCCACTTATATTGATTACATATTACCCCTAAATACTAGATAAAATATTCAGAAATATGTATTGATCGTGAAGTGATATAATTCTTGTTAGATAAATTAAGCATTCTTCCCTTTTTAGTGCACTACTACCCATTTTTACACAAAAATATCTATTTTAGCACTATATTTCGAGATAACCGTCTATCCAGAATTATATGTAATACACAGATACAACTAGAAATAAAATAATAAAAAAGCTGTATACAAGATATCATAAAACAAGAGATGAAATAAAAGAAGTTTTTATTAAGAGGGTTCTTAAATAAAACGTATAAAGACATACTCACGTTAACAAAATACATTAGGAAATTTCCGCGTATGAAACAAAATCCAATTTGGTAATGAAATCCTTTTGTATCTATAAAGCTATTTTTAGAGAAGCACGTACCTACCAAAAACAGGTAGTTATTAGTAGACATATCTGTTACACACTGTAATGTGTATGAATGATAACAAAAATAAGAAGTCCATATAAACATACTTTATTGAAAGAGGTAAAAGTACACTGCTAAGAAACTACATTGAATTTCTAGTGGAACGCCTGTGGGTTTTCACCTCGGATTAGAGTTACAGTGAATGAATTAATATGATCGATGTGGGATATTGTTTTTAAAACTATAAATTGCAATGTTTACCCAAAATTTTTGTGTGCGTTTAATTTTTTTATTGTTTAAACAAATTATGACATTATATTTTCACTTTAAACAGTATTTTTTTTATTTATATGTTAAATCTTACCCGAATAGACATATAGGAAAATTTTTCAAAGATAACTGTATAAGAATACCAGTAGGGATCTCGAACAAGTAGGAAAACGTGGAGGGCAGAGCGGAGCGACAGCTGCTATGTACAATGGAATTTCTGGACCAGTTTACAGTTTAATTATAAATGAAACGTACTCTATTGTGTACATTTCACAAAATAGGGTAATTAAGTACGACTAACGAAAAGAAAAAAAATTATTAGTACAAAATCTGTTTATTACATTGTTGTCTACATCAAATTTTCTTCTACTTCATCTATCTGTATAATAGGTGAAGAGTTAGAACAACTATTTCCGCTGCACTGTAGACATGCTACACTGCAGTATAAACCACTTTTTCGGCATCCACACGCAGCTCCACATCCCTTTTTGCAATTACAAAATAACATCTGCAATAAATTATCTGGAGCTGGTATTTGATTCATTGTTATTGGGATGTACATGTTATTATAATATTTCCATCCCAAATTTTCAATAACTATGTCATTTCCTAGCCATATCTGCATTTGTAGGTACACTCTTTTAAGGTGCTCAAACGCTGCATCAGTTGTTGGAGGCAGTGATGACAAAAGAGCACTTGTATTTTTGGCTATTGCTTTTATAAAAGAATTGAACCTCAATGTATTTAAATTATGAATTTTAGACGGACCGCCATATAAACTCAAAATACATGCTACACCTGCTTGCAATATATTGTTGGGATCTTCATTGATATTTTTAAATACTTTTACTGAGTCGTGTAAATCAATCCGTGTTTCAAAACTTTTGGCAAACTTAATTTTTCCTTTATTAAAAAACGCAGAAGTAATGTCACAACCCGTAAAAGCATGTAAAAAAAGAATATGTTCTTTACAATTTGGTAAAGATTTTTCTAAACATTTCGATGAAAATATCTTCTGTTAAACTTTGCCTCGGGATGGTTTTAGAAAATATATTTCACGATCTTTATCTACCAATGCCGTTAATATTACTAAGACATCGATATCTTCTGAAACTATAACAACATCTTTTGATTCCAAATTCATTGCCGTCTCAACAATTAATTTGTCGGCATCGCTTTCCGCTTGGCATGTAAAAATATTGTTGTCAGCTAATTTAATTCTCAACATTTCTATCAAGCGAATTTTATTTTTACTATTTGTCAAAAATTTATCTTGAGCAATTTTTAAAGGCATATGTTCATCAAATTCAATATCTGCACATTTATTTTTTAATTCGCGACGATTCCGTTCGGCTGATTTAATACTATCTTTTTTATACCCATCAAATACCACGTACGTGTTACTACTATAATTATTTTTTAAATATCTTACAGAATGGTCACATATCATTGCAAACGTTTCATTTAATTGCCATTTACAACGATGTAGTAACATACCTCCGTCAATACCATAATAGAGATTTTCTAAACTTTTTAAATTAATAGAAATTTCCGGAAATAATTCGTAAAGTGTTGATTTTTTTGTTTTTCGCAGTTCACCATCTTCAAATAGAGCAAGTGAATATGGTGCCAATTCGTAATTCATATAATTTTTTAAGTTCTTCGTCAGTTTTTTTTTAAACACAAATACGTTGAAACAGCAGTAATGGGTCAACAGAAATAACCTCTTCATGAATTTTAATTTTTCTATTTTTCGCCAATAGAGAATTTATTTTATTTTTCCTTGATAATTTTAATTCACGTAAATTTTGTCCCTCTGTTTTTTCCATTGCCTTTAAACCTGCTTCAAAAGCATCGTAACAATTTATCTTTTTATCTCCAGTAATTCCAGTAGCAATAGACATAATAGCATCTGTATCAGGAAAAGGGCTGTGCTGCTTGAAGAAATCCACTAATAATTTGACATCTGTATTATCCCTTTCTATTCTAGCATCTGTTGAATCAATATGTTGATGACTTTTGTTGAAAGATATGTCACAAAATTTTTCAAAAGAGCCTAGCCTCACAACAACTAATACTTCATCAGATAAATGCACAGCAGAAGCAATATCCCGTGCTTTCATGTATAGCGGTTGATCGAATGTTAAGATGCATGTTCTCATATTAAATTTTTTAGCATTTTCTACGGAACTTTTCATAGTTGTGTAAATTGTGTTATAATCGCTTGGAGCTGCAATAATAAAAGGCATAAAAATTATCGATGACACATCAAAATCACGTGCATTAGTTAATAAATTCATAAATCCGTTCCATCTGAGAAATTTGTTATTATTTTTGAACTTTAAATACGTCCACAAAATATTTAATTGCCCATTTGTAGTAAATTTTTTGATATCGGGTTTATTTTCAGATAACTTAACTACTATCTTTGAAAATCCTAAACCTGTAGAAGCTGGATATATGTGCAGAGGGATATTTCCGTGTTTGATAAATTCAGATTCTGGTGGTAGTGTCTTCAGACGCTTGATAGGCCATCGAGGTTGTATACCATCTCTTGGAGTAACTATTTCAATGTTTCCCATATAATGGAACATTCCCTTACCATCAATAGTGTTGATATTGAAATCAGCATTATCATGCACAAATTGAACGAAAGTGCCAGGTTTTATTTCTGGTGGAGCTGTAAAAGTTGCTGAAGCTTCGTATAATGTAGCCTCTTTGTACGATGCACAGAAGCCTAAAGAATGACATATATTTATTACTTTTTTAGAGCCAAATTTCCTATGAAACATCACAGCCAAAGTAATATGAAGTGGAGATAAAAAGATCTTGGTCGTACAGCTGATATAATTGCATGCGCTATCGATTTACATTTCTTCTCATATCTCGGAATTGTTTCTGCATTATTTTTCTTATCTTTTAATATCATTTCAGATATCTTGAAGCACTTTGTCACTTGGCGTATAATTTTCATTATCGTACACTTGGGCTCTTATATCTCTCCGAATAATTTCGCTCGCCGCTTTTAGAATATGAAATTCTTCTTCTTCTTTACTATTATATTTTTGATTGTACCAATTTTCTGTTAATACATCATGGTTAATATTTTTAAAACATATAATGGTGTTGGACCCAAATTTAGTTGAAATGATAATATCATCGTTAAATCGATCTATTAGTCGTTTTTTAATAGTTTTTTCATCCGGGATATGCTCTGTAGTGACGACGTTTTTCTCTTGCATGGTAAATTGGCAATCATCATTCTCTTCTATGTACTTGTATATTTGCTCCATTGCTGCATCTACCATCGAAATTTTTGGATTAATTTTCTTTTCAACACTACTGAGTTGAATTGAATTTTTCAGCAAATTATAACAATCCGAATGATATTTTGCTGCAAGTGTCTGTAAGTCGGTTATACCAGAAATTCTTTTATGGATATCTCGATAATAATCAGTTTTCTGGACGGCTATAAATTTCGTGAAGGATTCATTTAAAGTTGGAGTGTTGATGTATGAAATCTGCCTACGCCGAGCTTTATTTAATTTTGCTTCTTTTGATTTATCAGCTTCTTGTCCGAAAATAAAACAGTTTTTTTCCCAATTGAAGTTATTGAAATTCATGCTATTTCGAAGTTTTTTTTACACACTCCAATATACTTTTTATTAATATATTTTTGTCGACAACTTGAATGAGCGTAAACAAATTCAGTTTGTAGGTGAGGTAATAATCCATCTTGTCGTTTGGTCGAAGCAGCTTTTAAAGAGGTTATTCCTCTACTAATTTTTATAATTTCACCTAGATTCGAATATGTTTTGGAAGATGAACCCAGGTGTATACATATTATGCAGCTATTTTCATCAGCCATGCTGCTAGCCGTTGGTTTATCCAGTGTTCGAAATCTAAAAAAAAATAATATCTAATTAATTGCACTCATTATTTAATTAATTTAACAATGAACCGTAGTTATCAATCTAATCACTTACCAAATGAATCAATACGAAATAATTTGTAATAGTTCAATATAAAAACGTCATCTTCAATACACCTTCCAGTACAAAAGTATACAAAAATTTTTCACTAAAAAACCAAATTTTCACTGTTATAAAAGCACAATATTCACAGAACACGTGTTACTTTCAACTAAACTAGCTGAAAAATTCCATTGTACATAGTAGCTGTCGCTTCGCTCCCCCCTTTACGTTTTCCAACCTGTTCGAGCCCTCTACTGATATTTTTATACACAGATATCTTTGAAAAATATTCCTAAATCTCTACTCAGGTAATATTTAACATATAAATAAAAAAATACTTTTTATAGTGAAAATATAATGTCAAACATTAATTTTTTATAATAATTTGTTTAAACAATAAAAAAATTAAATGCACACAAAAATTTTGGGTAAACATTGCAATTTATAGCTTTAAAAATAATATCCCACATCGTACATATTAATTCATTCACTGTAACTCTATCCGAGGTTTTACGGTTTCGAATGCTCCAGGAACTCCACTATTCTTATACTTTCATTTTAATCCTCTCCAATCAAGATTTTAAAGCAGCTTAACTCCATTAGTCCATGTTTGTTGCTTTTTGTCACTGTTTCTCCTTTGTCTTTATCATTATCATAACGTAGCGCTACAACACTGGGTGGGTCTTCGCTAACTACAAATTTTCTCCAAGTTGATCGATTTTCCACGAATCTGTAATCAACTGAAATGTTATTTTTTTAGATATGGCATTTTTCTGTGCTAACTTCTTTCCATACCAGTTTTATAAGTTTGACATCTTGGCGTCTATGCATGTGTCCGATCTACCTTAAGGGATTTATTTTCCGGAACAATATCGTTATAAGAGCTTTCTTTATTTAATATGTGTTCTAATTCTATGCAGATTTGTAGCGATATGATAATGAGGTTAAAAAATTTTTATTATTTTTCTTTTAAATATTCGTAATTCTTCCTTACTTGTTTTACTCATTGTCCATGATTCGCATCCATGTCTTAAAATATGTCTAAAGTTTGAATTATTCTCTGTATTTTTTAGTGGCATTATTATTAACCGTGATAATTTATCTTATAAGATATTTAAAGTGTTCCATATTTTGGAAATTGTGATTGGTAACTTTAATATTTTATCTAGATTTATTGAATTGGTCTCTTTTGTTGATTCGCTTGTATCTGGTTTTCATTTCGTTGATTTTAAGTGAACAATTTTTCGTGCTCTCTTCACTTTATTGAAGATGTTTGTGGACGAGAGAGTTTCTTATGAGATCTATATCATTAGCATATGCTAGGAGTGCTTTGTACCTTGGGCCGGTAATGGATTACGTCTTAAATAGGCGATATTTCTATTTTAGTAGGCTGTTTATTAATTTTTTTGGCTATTTGAAACGGTCCTGCAAGTGACAACAGTAGGTTCATTTAATTTCGCTTCGTAATAAACTTAAAATTATTCGGGAATTATAAGTTAGAAAATTCAACCGAGTTCAAAAATAAGTATCAAAAGTTAAGTGCATACAGGTGATAGTAGTTAATAAAGAAAATACCATCAGACAAGTAAGATAGAACTATTTTAATAATTTTAACAAGTCTTAAGTAAATGAATAATTGAGTGAAATATTAAAAAAGTGGTTTTGGCGAATGTTCGAAGGGTCGATCTCCTTAGGCATTCCTACGCGTTTTTTGTTTTTGTTTTTTTTTTTTGGTAGATAAGAAGGTAATTAGTGCTAACAAGAAATTAATGATCAAAATAAAAGCCACATAATTTTATTACAAAAATCCAGATCTGGCCTTAAAATAGATTTGATTAAAGTTGGGATTAGAATTAAATTAAATTAAAATAATAAATTAAAAGTAAATGTAATACAATAACTAAATCGAATGAACAGCAAAAGAAATAAGCCAGAACACGATAACTTATTCGACGAGGAGGAAGCCTTCAAAAGAAGCAAAGCCACGTTAAGAACATCTCCAAAGGATAACATAAAAAATCGCGAAATGGAAGAACTAAAGAAACTACAAGAAGAAATAAATAAGGAGATTAAAACGGAAATAAAAGAGCTGAAAACAGAAATAAAGGAAGAAAATAAGGAGATGAGAAGATATATAAATGAAGTTAAAGAAGAGATAAAACAAAATAACGAAGAAATAAAAAGCATAAAACTGGAAATAAAAAGGGTAAAGGAAGAATGGACAAAAGAGAAAGAAGAACTGAAAAGAGAAAACGAACTAACCAAAACCGATAACAAAAAGATAACGGAAGAATTAAATGATCTAAACCGCTCATTAGAAAGGTTAGACAAAGAAAAAAGAATATAATCATCAGTGGATCAAAAATAGACTCTGAAGACCCAAAAACATTAAAAGAGGGAATGACTACTACATTAGAAAATCATCTTGGAGTCAAAACCAATATTAAAAGAGCACAAAAAATAGGAACAAAAACATGCTTAATTGAACTTGAAAGCGAAGAAGAAAAAACAACAATCTTAAGAAACAAATACAAACTTAAGAATGTGAAGATCGAAAAAATATGGATTACAGAGGATCTCACAAAAGGAGAGAGAGAGAAAATGGAAGCTTTAAGAGATAAAGCAAGAGAAATGAGGGAAAATGGAAAAATGGTCAAAATAGGATACAATAAAATCACAGTGGACGGCAAGGAATGGAGATGGTGCTATAAAGAAGAAAAGGTGTTGGAAATAGCGTGTTCAAAAAACTACCAGAGCAACATAAAAAGAACCAAGGAGAGGCCAAGCAACGAGTAGAGAAAGAAGAATTACTAAATAAACCGGACAATGATGACAAATGTTTAGTTTTAAGTAGTAATAGGAATAGGATTAGAAATAATAAAAATAGATTATAAATCAATTTTAAGCCAAACCCCGGAAATGTCCCTAATAGAGACGCTTTCACAAATCTGAAGATATACCTGAACCAATAGTGTCATGAAATCCTTAAACTCTGGACTTGCTATAAATACCTTAAAGATAGTTTCTATCACAGAACTTTGTTTAAAACCAAATGGCAACCTAGAACCAGAAAAATAATATTCTCCGCAAACTTGTCAGCTTAAAATAGGAAGCACATTCTTCCACCCTTAAAACGTCGACTTAAACTCTATGCTTATGCTGCCGAATATACCTTGCTAGTATGGGTGACAAAAACACATACTTAACACGTAAGTATATTTAGCTATAAATTAGTCAGTCATCAGATCATCACATCTGCAAGATATACAAAAAAAATATAAGCTACTTCTCGCCATCTGAACCCTCGAAAGGAACTTCCTTATGGTTGTTATCTTCCTTAAATTTGCCTGGAGGACTTTTGCCTGCAAACACCGGTTAACCTGTGTGAATGTGGGGTGGTATAAGATTCATCACACTTTCTTAGTTGACTTTTCCATTCAAATAGCTCTTTTTTGAAGGGACAAGGTTTATTTATTTGAACTAATCATGTTAAGTATAGCCAGTAAGCTTTTACTTATAAAGATCATTGCAAATTTGAAACTAACTCCACTTATATTGATAACATATTACCCCTAAATAGAAAATAAAACATTCAGAAGTATGTAATATTGGAGAAGTGGTATAATGCTTGTTAGATAAAATCTTTCTTTTTTTGAGCACTACTGCCCATTTTTACACAAAAATATCTATTTTAGCACTTAAATATTTATTTTGAGATAACCTTTTATCCAAACTTATATGTAGTACATAGATAAAACCAGAAATAAAATAATAAAAAAGCTGTATACAAGATATCATAAAATAATGGATGAAATAAAAGAAGTTCTTATTAATCGGATTCTTAAATAAAACTTATGAAGACATATTCACGTTAACAAAATACATTAGGAAATTTCCGCATATGAAACAAAATCCAATTTGGTAATGAAATCCTTTTGTATCTATAAAGCTATTTTTAGAGAACTCGTACCTACCAAAAACAGGTAGTTAATAGTATACATATCTGTTACACACTGTAATGCGTATGAATGATAACAAACTAAGGAGTCCATATAAACCGTCCAGACTTTACGCGAGAATTATACATCTTATAGCAGAGTTGCCAAACTATCAGAGCTTACTTAAACCGATATACTTATGGTTCAAATATACAGTGAAAAAGATCTGAACGACCCCTATAATATATACACGTGAACTAAGCGATATACATTTATGATACAGGGATAATTATGGGCTCCAAAATTTTTTTAAAAATTATGAAACTATACATGTTGACGAATCGACAGAGCCAATATTCAGTAAGCTAAATACTTTAGCAACAAAAGTTTTTGGTTATGCAACAATAGATGTATCGTCTACATAATAAAAGTCCTACTATTTACCGGTATGGGTTGTGTAAATGTTATACAGCGTAGGTGCGATTACGGTACCTCAAAGAAGACCGTTCTTCTACGTTCTCCATCTGCTATTCTTACCGTTGAGTGATACGAAAAATCTTATGTTGTGTAGGCATACACGGATAATACAAGTGAGTTTATTACCTATAGGGATATCACATAGATTTTGAAAAAATGCCCTCTAATTTAAGGTGTCGTAAGCGGCATTGAGATTGACAAATACGACTCCTCATACCTGATATTTTTCATACCCGTCTTCGCTGTGTTGGGCAAGATTTAGTATTTGTGATGTACACGATCTTCCCTGTCATATATAGCCACTTTTGTTTTGTAATTTGAGTTCTTCTTCTATTATCGGTTTATATTAAGGATCATGTGCAGATTTATTTTGTATAGCTGACAAAATAAATAGATATATTGGCCGAAAGCTTTTGTGGTCGTTGGAGTTTTTGCCAGGTTAAAGCATAGTGATAACTTTGTCTTTGCTTTGCTTGTCTACAGACTTTAGATATTAGCCATTGTAGTATTTTT